TCAAAGGGCAAATATGACTTAATATTAGGAATGTGACTTAATTATAAAAGTGACAGAACTAAAGAGAAGGCTGATTTCTCATCCCAGTCAAGTATTCTATGCCAAAGTCAGAGCCCTGTTAGAGAAGTGGGATCTGGAGCCTTGGGATGGAGATATTAGGGTTGATGCAGTTGAGAATTTTGGACACCCAGATTACCCTCAATCCGGTGGCCCTGTGGAAGGGATCCACTTCCACTTGTCAGAGGATAGGGACTCCACCTTGCATGATGACCATGCAGAGGCTTCAAATGAGGCAGATGCCTTATAATGCTTTTCTTTCTCAGAACCTGACGTCACCTTCTGGGCACCAGAGCAATAACTAGTGTCAAATCTCAGCATGGCCCCACAGGAGAAACCTTGGGCCTGCTAAGGGAGGAGAGAGATTTAATGCCAACAGAAGTGTAGCACCTGGCTAATCAGTACTCTAGGAACTCGCAGAATATGCCTGGAGTATGTCCTGAGGGTGCTGGACCAAAGAAGTGGAATATAAAGCTTCTTGATGGGAAAACTTCTCCATGACTCAGACTTAATGCCCTGACAATGGCCCTTGGAGTCAGTTTTTAATATGCTGATGGGGTGGTTCTTGGAAACTTGAAAAGAGTGATGGTCCACATTAAATAGAGATATGATAACGTATTATAAACTATTCAGGAGTAATAAAAATCTCAGAGAACTGGATATGCTGGAGTGGACATGTTATATAAGACCAAAACAGCTAACTATGTTCCCTGGAAGGATTTGGAAGATGCTTCATTTACTAGCATCACTGAGTAGTTAATAGTGACTGTCCTCTGTAGGTGGGGACCTTGAAGGTGATGGTGTTACAGAAATGAACTCTCTTCTATAAATGTGGATGATGTGATCCAGGAATAGCAGACATTAGGTGGCAGCACCTAGTTATCAGGGGAGTGGTAGAAACAAGTACTATGATAGGCAACAAGTTTCAAGTGGCAACCAGGGTGCCTGATTTATGGAGATGGCTCATAGAACTTAATGTTATTAGAGGCAAGATAGATGGGCAGCCAACAAATGTGTTTTATACATATAACATATATTCAAAAGACATCAAGATTGGATGAGCAGAAAGATGACATCAGTCACTTCAATGAAAAGTCATAATCCCTTGGTCAGTTTCCAGACCAGAGACAGTTCTCAGATCCAGAATCCATCAATTGAAAGAGAAGCTGGGATCCATTTGTGGCCACAGACAGCAAGAGAATACAGAAGTGGCTGACTTCATCTTTCTTGGATCTGGTTCTAGGAGCTTTGAAATATACTGTTTTCTATTAATACATGCACTTCAGCTTTCATTTGATTAGTATTCATATGGTATATCTTTAACTTTTAAACTCTTTACCTTTAAAGTGGTTTTGTTGTAGGCAGCACATATTTTTGGGTTTTGCTGTTTCCTATGCAATCTGACAATCTCTGTCTTTTAATTAGGGTATTTAGACCATTTACAGTTAACGTAATTATTGAAAATGACTTTTAAGTCTACCTTGCTATTTGTTTTGCATTGAGCATTTTTTATAATTCCATTTTCCCTCTTTTGTTAGCTTATTAACTATAACTCTTTGCTGTGTCATTTTAGCTCTTTTTTTTAGGGTTTACAGTGTACAACTCCAACTTATCATAGTCTACCTTCAAGTGATATTATACCACTTTTTGTATAAGAACCTTATAACAGAATTCCTTCATTTCTCCATTTTCTTCAATAGCTTTTGTGCTACTGTTGTCATAGATTTTACTTTTATAGGTTATAAAAACAATACATTGTTATTATTTTTGCTTTCAGTGGTCAATTTTCTTTAAATACATCTAAGTAATAAAAAAGTTTTAAAATTTTACTAATATAATTACCATTTCCAAGGCTTTTCATCCTGTGGTATAATTTTCCACAGGTCTGAAGACTTTCTCTTAACATGTTTTGTACTGCAGGTCTGCTAATGATGAATGCTTTCAGCTTTTGTATATTTGAAAAAGTTTGCATTTTGCCTTTGCTTTTGAAAGATATTTTTGCTGTTTATAGAATTTCAGTTTACCTTTTTTTCTTTCAATACTTTAAAGATGTTTCTTCACTGTCTTCTGGTTTGCATTGATTCCAATGAGAAATCTGCTGTCATTTTTATCTTTGTTTCTCTGTACATAATGTCTTCTTTTCTCCACCTGCTTTCAAAACATTCTGCTTTTTACTGATTTTAAGCAATTTAGGATGTGCCTTAGGGTAGTTTTGTTCATGTTTCTGTGCTTGGAGTTCATTGAGATGGTTGGACCTGTTACTTCATAGTTTTCACCAAATTTGAAAAAAATTCAGCTATTTCTTTGAACATATTTTTTGTCCCCCTTCTATCTGTCCTTCAAGGCTTCAATTACACATCCATTAGGCCACATGAAGTTGTACCACAACTCACTGAAGCTCTGTTCATTATTTTTCTGTTACTTTTTTCTCTGTGTGTCATTTTGGATAGTTTCCATTTCTACATCTTGAAGTTGATTGATCTTTTCTTCTGAAATATCTAATCTGTTAATCTCTTCCTGATGCAGTATTCCTCATCTCAGACATGGTAGTTCTAGTCTCTACAAATTCAGAGTATTTATTTTTTATCTTTCATGTCTCTAGTATGTTCCTGATTTCTTCTAACTTCTTGGATATATGGAATTCAGTTATGAAACCTGTTTTAATGTCTTCATCTACTAATTCTATCTTCTGTGTAATTTTTGGTTTGGCTTGGATTGATTAGTTTTTCTCCTCATAATGGGTTGCAAATATTTTGTCCCAATCTATCACTTATTTTTTCACTTATTTAGCAGTGTCGTTCAAACAGCAAAAGGTTTCAAGTTTGCTAAAGTTCAGGTTCAGGTTTCTTTCTCCCCTATCTATAAAATGTTTTGCCTAGCCCAAGGTCACAGATTTTATTTTATATTTTCTTCAAGAACTTTTACAGAGCTAGGTTTTTGTTTTAATACCCACTTAAAATTAGTATTTATATATAGTAAAGTGTGGGTAAATGTATTTATTTATTTGGTTCCAGAATATGTATTGAAAAGATTATTCTCTCTCCATTGAATTGTCTTTGATCTTTTGCCAAAAAGTTGTGTGTCTGTTTCTGGGCTCTCTATTGTATTCTGCTAATCTTTAAGTCTATCCTTACATCATTATCACACTGTTTTGATTATTGTGGCTCATTTTTTCTTTACATCTGTTGAATTGATAATTAAAAACAAAATCTGGTTGTCTGGTGAATCAAATATATTTTAGAATGCTGAACCAACCTTTCCTTCTTGGAATAAATCTGACTTGGTCATGATGTATCCTTCTTTTTACTTGTTATTCAACTCAATTTGCTAACATTTTGTTAAGGATTTTTGTATTTATGTTTATGAGAATTATGGTCTGTAGTTCCTGTTCTTTGCCTGCTTTTGGCATGAAAGTAATGTTGACCTCATAAAATGAGTTGGAAAACATTTCTTCCTTTTCTATTTCCCAAAAAAGATTGTTTAGAATTGGCATGATTTCTTCCTTAAACGTTGGTAGAACTTGCCAGTGAAGCCTTCTGGGCTGGGTGTTTTCTTCATAGGAAGGTGTTTTTAACTACAAATTCAATTTCTTTAAGAGAAATATAACTATTCAGGTTATTTCTTCTTGAACGAATTTTGGTAGTTTGTCTTTCAAAGAATTTTCCATTTCTTTTAGGTTATCAAATTTATTGACAAAGTTGTTATTTACTTATCTCTTATTATCCAGTTACTATCTGTCAGATCTTTAGTAATGTCCCCTCTTTTCATTCTTGGTTGTGATAATTTGTGTCTTTGCACTTTTTTTCTTGTTCAGTCTGGCTAGATGTTTATCAATTTTTGTATTCTTTGTAAAGAACTATCTTTTGGGTATATTGATTTTCTCTATGGTTTTCGATTTCATTGGTTTATGCTCTTTATTATTTCATTCCTTCTTCTTGTTTTGAGTTTAATTTGTTTTCTTAAGACACTTAGACCATTGATTCAAAACTTTTTTGGTTTCTAAAATAAGGCATTAAAGCTTATTTCTCTGAAAGCACTTCTTTAGCTGCATCTTACAAACTTTGTAATATGTTTTCATTTTTATTCAATTAAAAATATTTTCTAAATTTCCCCGTGTCTTTGACCTGCGTTATTTAGAAATATGTTTAATTTCAAAAAATTGGGGATTTTCCAGATATCTTTCTGTTATTGATTTCTAGTTCAGTTTGTTTGTGGTCAGAGAATATATTTTGTCTGACTTGAACACTTTTAAATTTGTTGAGTTTTTTGTTTTGTTTTGTTTTATGGACCATAAAGTGGTCTATCTTTGTGAATATTCCTAGCGTACTTGAAAAGAATCTGTATTCTGCTCTTGTGGGTGGCGCATTGTTCTTATTTTTATTTTTTTAAATGGCTATTAACTTTCTGAAAATAAAACTTCACAAAAAGAAGGAGTATGTCACATAAAGTTGGCTTCAGAAATCTGATGGTCCAGTGCATGAGTTTGAAAAGTCAAAAATTATTTTATAAGAAATATTAAAATAGTAAGTAGTTCTCAATATGAACTTAATGAAGTACATGTACATACAATTAATAATGATATAAGAGACCAAACACCAGCAAATAAATGCAGATAATGAATAAGCTACCTCTTCACATGCTTACCTCCTAATCTGTTCCCAGTATGATCCAATGATCCATTGTCTACACATAGCCACACTGGTTTTACTTTGGTTCTTCCAAGCACCCATCATCTTCTCTTGCCTCAGGATTTACTGAACATACTCTCCACATGGAAAATAGTTTCTCTCTCTTTTTGTCTAATTTCTCTTCAACTTTCAGAATTGACTTTGAATTAACTCTCTTCAGGAAGCCTTTTCTGACATGCTCTCCAAATTTCAGGTTCTCATGGTACACATTTTCTTGGTACCCTGTACCTCTCCTTCACAGAACTTACTATGATTGAAATAAAAAACAAAAGGCTAGATTAGGTCAGATTATCAAAGATGTTATAACTTCTCAAAAGGTTCAGAATCACTTACTCGATACCAAATTGAGACATGGAATAGCCAACTAAGCTGACTTAACTAAAACTTGGTTTTTATTGAATGGCATTTCTCTTTTGAAGACTTCTCTGAAAGCAGAATTATACGTTCAGAAGAATATTGAATGCATCAGTCTTCCATATTACATATCCAATACATCCAAGAGACTAAAATTTATAAAATATTGCACACAGTATGGCATGCAAAACCAGCTAAAGTGAGAAGTCCCATTTTTTTTTGCCTTCATAAATCCAGACAAATGGATAAGGTGTCTGTTTTCCTAAGATTTCTTGCTTTAGAAAGGAAAATCCATATACAAAAAGCAAGTTTGGCTCAACTTTTCTTTTCGAAATTGAATCTAAAAGTTAATGCTTTAGAGTCTAATAGTTTCATTTAAACTTTTAGGCAAAGAATTAGAGTGAGGAGTGAGAGGAAAATCTTCCTCTTTCATGAACATTTGGAACCTTAATTCCTTTTAAACAGCACTTGACAATATTACTAGGGAGTCACTTGTAAGAAAATACAGAGCTTTCCTGGCAATGGAGTTGGAAGAGCTGCCTTCCCCATGTCTCTCAGGCTCACTTTGTAAATTATGTGAAACACTTTTAGACAGACACTGGCACTCATAAATTATACAGCTCATTTGCATATTCCAGTCATGAGACATTATGCAAAGTGACATGATTTGCATAATGGATTCCTCTTGTCGCTTCACTTGCTGCATGCTTTTAAAAAACAAAATGAAATAAAATGAAAGCATGAAAAGGTGAAAGCATCAAGTTCCCAGCCTTGCCTGTCTCCTTCCCAACTACAATATCAATTGCTTTCATTTTCTACAGCGGATTGGGGTGAAGGGGACAGAAAGCAAAAATCTACACACATATAAACAAAAAAAACAAAGAGCTTTCATATGAATTTTGTTCTTAATTACAATGTACCTACTTTCTTACTGAAATCTTTCACCATAAATAACCCATCTGAGTCAAGAGGAATAGAAACAAAACAAAATACTGAGATATAGAGAAAGAAACTTTATGGAACTTTTTCTTTAAAAAAATCTTCTTTGCCTGTGATGTTTAGGGAAAGAGTAGCTTTCCTTCTTGTAATGAAAAAAAAACAGGCATCACGTATTTTCTTCTTATTGGAAAAAAAGCATATTATGGATGAGATAAATAGTCTGGGGGAGGGATATTTTTTCCCCATAAGAACTTCTGAAGGGTTTTCCTGTTTTGAACGAGGAAGGGAGAAGAAGAAAGACAGGGTTGTGCTTTGATTATTTAACAAAATATAGAATGGCTCTCCATACGGTAAGGACGAGGCAGTGCCACGTCGACTTCTATCGGCGCTACTCCAATAAGCAGGCAACGTTCCCTCAGCAGTTGCTAGGTTTGCTGCGGGCTCTCCCTGCCCCCCTGCACCAGTGCGAAAGGCAGAGTGTGCCAAGCGGCTGGCGTCTGTACCCTGTGGGAAAAGTTAACTGTAATTCTTCGGCTTTTAAAATCAATTAACCCGTGTGTTAATTAACGTCAAGTCGACGGGAGGAGGAGGAGAAGAAGGGGAGGGAGGCAGGAAAGAAAAAAGCTGCAAGGGCGGATGGCAGAAGAGTTGGCACAGTGCCATCCATTCAGGGGCAACGCCACAGTTTCGTGCGATAGCAGCAGCGGGTATATGTTACGGGGGCCCTGTATGCGGGCCAGACAGTGCGGTAAAGCCAAGGGAGATTATCCAGACCCCCAGGAGCGAACAGCAAGCAGCAACCGAAGGCGCAAGTGCCAGGATTACAGCCTAGGCTGCTCCAACTATGAGCCCTTCCTCGGACCCAGGGACTCGGCTACTTGGGGTTTGGGGGTCTTCCACACCAAAGAGGCACAAAGCTGACTTTAATCACTTTTTCCTTTAAACTTGATTCTGCCGCAGTGGAGCCTGCAAAGCGGATGCTTTCACACCCAGCAAGACAAAGGCCGTCGTCTCCGCCATGACACTGTTCCGTTCCAAGCAGAGGCCGGGATCCTGGACTCCTGGAAAAATCAAAAAGAAACAAGGAAAACAAACAACAAATACAGCAACAAACAGAAAAAATTAACAACCACCAAAATCGTGCGCCCGTTTGCCCGTGCCAGGGGTGATCTGGGCATCTGTTGCAGCAGAAGGCGCTTGTGTGGGGCTATTTTTTTTTTTTTGGGGGCAAGCTATTGGCTTGTTTGCTATTCAACTTCGTTTATAATTAACTTAAAAAAACACCATTCAGCCTAGTCAACAACAAACAAAGAGAAAAAGCAGACATCGGAAGAGAAATGCCACAGGAAGCGGCATGAATGCATGCCACAGCCGGTGCCACTTGCCATTCGGAAAACCTCAGGGAATGATGCCAATTCTACAGCTGGGAAGAAGGCAGAGAAGGGAGCATAAAGGTCTACAAATAGAAATCATAAGGAAAGAATACTGCTTGTATAATCCTGGATTGCAATTGCACACAGCTTCTGCTGGGAGAAGAGAGGGAATATTTAAATGGAGATATAGATGGGTATAAATTAAAAGATAGGCACCTATCGATTGCATATAGACACATGTGTAAGCTTGTATGTGTATATAAATACACATATTTTCAGACAAATTAAACGTTTAGATATGTATATATTTTTGTGTTATAGGTATGGGTATGTGTATAGGTGTATATGCTTATGCATATATACACATATGTGGGATGTATGCATGTGTGAGGAAAAAGGAGAGGAAGACATGAGGAGAGAGAAGGAAATGTGTGTATGTGCATGTATATGTGTGCATACATCCCACTTTTTGACCCAGGTATACAGAGAAGACAAAATAAAAATCATACTCCAACAGCAAGCAGGCAGTCAGAGATTTATCTACATTCACTGCTATCACCAGGGAGATGAATGGGGCCGATCTGAAGCCCTTTTACAAGATCCACTATGGGAGTGAAGGAGGAGGAGGGATGCCACACAGACATGCACAAACTTGAAGGCAGAGAGATTTGGAAGGTGCTACTTAGGAAGCCCTGGTGGCATAATGCAGGGGAGAAGGGGAAGGAGGCTTGTCTCTCTCTATGTTTTAGGTGGTTGTTTATAAAAAAATCTGAAAGGGTTTCAGGAAACGGCTGGTACTTACGTTGTCTGCGTTGCTGTGGATCCTGAAAGGTGTTCTGTTGGCACCGGGCGCTGAGCCAAGGGCAGGCGCTGGAAACAAAAGGGAGAGACAAAAAAAAAATAAAGTCATTCAATGGGAATATTAATTGCTGCTCTTGTGGATTTTACAAAACACATAAACTGTTTTCTTTTTCTTTCTTTCTTTTTTTTAAAAAATGTGGATTGGCGCGTGTCCCTTTCGCATGGAATATACAAGTAGTATGGGATTTACAGCCCAGTACGGGACTCAGGATTAACCGCGCTGGCATCTTTTGGGCATATTCTTCCTTTTAATGAATGAGCTTTCGCTGTTAATGAGGAATAATCGTTTGGCTAATGAGCTTTGAAACATTAAGAGAAAAGAGGTTTTTTTCCGTTAATCGCTCTGGTGTGACTGCATGGATGGATTACAAAAGACAGCAATAGGAACGCAGTACAAAGGGGGGGAACTCTCCTGGAGTGGGAGAAGCACCGAGATGGGTGATGTGACCCTGCGTCTTTCCTTCCTTCTCTCCCTCTTTCACTCTCTCTGCCAAACGCTATGGGTTTCCATAACTCCGCAATCAAAGTGGATGGTCGGGAAGGATTATTACAAAGAGTGAAGCCTCCGCTGTTAATGTCTCCAGTGTTTAATCATCATACAGTAGAATGGTTTTATGCATATTTCATTTGCATATCATTAAACCGTGTTAGCGAGGGGCATTCAGAGCCAGAAGTACAAAGTTGGGGAGAGAGGGAAGAAAAAAAGGTCCCTATGATGCTTATCTTCAAACAGGGACTTGTTCCATGATCTGTCTTCTACTTTTGCTAAAATCATTATGACTTGGAAACCTTTGAAGTTGGATACAACCTTGGATTCTTCTAATTCCTGCAGAGCGGTATATTTTTAAAACAGCAGAAATGTTCCTGCACTAGACAATTAAAGGAATATAAACTCCAGTGGGTTGAAACTAGTAGCTCTTTGGGGAATGCAGTGGCAGAGCCTTCTACAAATACCACCACTTAAAAAAAATAAATAAAGAGCATCATATTAAAACAAAAGAAAATGAAGACAAGAAATATTAACATGTGGATTATATTTGTTTCTTTTGGGGGGTTAATGAACTAAAGAGAATGAAGAAGCCATCGGTAATTTATCCCTTCATTAATGAACAGTCACCTTTTTGTACGTGTTTGTTTTTGTCCTTTCTTTTTGAAGAGGGATGTTGTCAATTTTGAAGCGATTAGTCAATTATTTTGTAGCTATGATCTTTTCCTCTGCACTCGACAGGAAAAAGAGGTGGTGGTTAGGGAATATGTGTGTATTGGGAGGATTTGTGGGAAGAGAAGGAATACAGTGAGTTCTTTGTAGATCTAATACATGCACAACATATTAATTGAGAGCTTTTAAAGCTCCCTCAATAGGCTATTTCATTCCTGGTAAAACAGCAGCTGGTTAGCCACTGTTGGTGACTCTTCAAATATCACTTTAAGTATTTTTATTCTGTCGCTGTTGTTGTCTTGTTTTGTTTTTCCTCAGTCAAGAAGAAGAATATAATGTCACGCTTTCTTTATCGAGTCTCTTCTCTCCTCCATCTTCTTCTTCACTTCCAATTTCCAAACTGTAAAATAATGTTGGTTTAATATCAAATCCTGGTGCACAATCTAACTGGCACAACTTGATTTGGAAATGAGATGCTGTTTTGTATTTAAATTATCCCCGCTCCTCCCTTATCCTCCAAAGCTTTGTCTCTGCTATGAATATTCAGATGAGGCATGATGTGATTACACTGTACAATTACTCCTATCCATGGTGGTGCCAGGGACTGCTGGGGAGACAGAGAGCCTGACAGCCTCCAGGCCAACACGGAGTTTGTTTTCGGTATTTTTCCTATCTCCTTGGCGCTGCGGCACATGCAGATGTCGCTGTTGTTCTTTATAAAGCCTTAATGATATGCAAAAGCATAACAACTTGGTTTGGATGCAAAGCATCGACGAAATATTATGGATGTCTTTAAGAAAGGGGGAGAGAAAATCTTGACTGAAGGAATGTCCACATAAATTATTTTTATTTAAATGAATTCAAAGGATGGGGTGAAGGCAAGTCAGAAGGAGTCACATGGAAAACATGCATACTATTAATATGCATAAAGAGTTCTTACCAAGGAGAAGAAGCTCCTCACTACAGCTCATGGGACAAACTGGTTCATTAGGAAATAGCTCAGAGCGACTACAGCATTTTGCTATTTCAATTTTTTCCTTATTTTAAATGAAGAGTCAGACAGATGTGTTTTCTTTGCATGGCAGCATCGAGATGGATCCAATCTGTGAAATTTGCTGCCCAAATAGCATTTCTAATGGAAACTGGAACTAAACAAGGGCATGGATATGGAAGGGAGGGGGAGAAGAGAGAATATACGAAGAGGAGTATATTCAGAGCCACAGCATAATATTTTATAGTACAGGAGATTTTCAGAAATGATCTTTGCTTCATTAGTCCCAGACGGGAGCTCCTGTTGCAGGGAGCTATTAGGGTTTACCAAGATGAGCACCGAGACAGGCCTTTCTAGGTCTGAGGCTGAGGAAAGCAGCGGCAGCTTGGTGCCTGTCCCCCGCCAGCTGTCTACAGCTTGGATGCCAAAAGCACAGCTACTAATCTGGGGATGCAGTAGAGTGCCTCCTTGTCCAGGTATTTGTGACAGAGGGAATTTTTGGTGCTATCATAGTATATGTGCTAAAGAGCAGATGGAATCATCTGGGTGCTTAAGCAGGCCTGATAATATTCATGCCGGTTAATTTTCAGGGTAAAGATTACTCTGATTCTCTAATATTCTCAGAATGTTGAAATTACTAGTGTGAATTAGTGCATGTTTACAATGAACAGAGATGAACAAATAGTGAATGAGCCTATTGGATAGATTCAGAACTGATAAAATATTTGGAATATTACTAATGGCCTCAAAGGATTAATAAAGAAAACCAAAGCAAGAAGCAGCATTCAGAAAAAAAGAGATTTCATTGCTTCGCTTGGTCAGGTGGACCTAGTTCAAGTTACTTTAATAATTCAGGTTAAAACAATTTTATACCTCTGTTTAAATTACCTAAAGACAAAGACAGTTTACCCTGGTCTGTGTGCCTGCACAAAGTTTTGCTTGATGGCATAATGTTGACCTGGAACTGGTTTCTATATACAAGCATGTAAGCATGTTCTAAATTCTGCTGCTCTTTACCCATTAATCTCCAAAGCTTTCACTTATGAGTCTCTTTTATAACACACACACACACACACTCTTACTTCTCAACTGATACATGATTCTCAATTGGACAGTGTACCGAACTACAGAGTACAATGAATTAATCATTATATGGAGAACTGCTATTTAATCTGAATCTGAATCAGGCCTTTAACCTCTTATCTATTCCATCTCTGTTGACAGAATTATGGCTATTAAATATTTAAAGAATGCATGTAAAGAATTTAGCACAGTAATTGCACATAACAAGCACTAAATAATGTTACAATTTATTGTTGGTATATTATTATTATTATTTCAGTGTATTGGTTATTATTTGAGAGAAATAAGGAAAAGGAAATAACATTCAGTCTTTACTACTACTACTAAATAGCAATGCAGGTAAAAGGTTTAGTGAGAAAGCATTAAATAGGTATCCATGGTGGATAGATTGTGAATTATGGATACTAAAAAGTCAAACTACAGCTCACATTAATGCAGTTCATAATAGACCCATGAAAGGGTTCCTTTAAAAATGTATGTGTAATTCTGAAATGATGATTATGTTGCATGATATCTATAGTCTAAGAGAGTTCTATCATGGTTGGTATAGAGGGCTGTGTGAACTGAGAGGAGGGCTATGGGAACTGAGGGGTGCTCATTATTTACCACACTGACAGGACAACGCCAACTTTCAGTCTTTTTTTGTTTTTAAAGTTATATTTTTGAATAGGTAATTTATTAACTATTTTCAAATATCAATAATTTAAATAATGTAAAAAGCAAAAAGTCTCCCTCGTGCCCTTCTTCTAGCCACGAGATTCTAACCTCATCTCCAAATCAGTAATCATTGTTACTGGTTTCTTGTTTATCTTTCCAGATATTAATATACCCAGATATTAATAAGATATTAATATATTTTCCCCTCCCATTTTTTTACACAAATGGTAGTTTTTAAAAAGATTCTTTAGAATTTTCTGCAAATGCAGTAATTTCATCTGTGAATAGATAGCTTAACGTCATTTCCAGTAAACACATCCATTAATTTTTGTCTTTAACTTGTCTTATTTCATTGGTGAAGACATCTAGTACAATGTTGAATAGAAGTGGTGAGTGGTGAGAGTGAACATTCTTGCCTTCTTCCAATCTTAGGGAACATCACTGCCTTATTCCTGAACTTACTGGAGAAAGAATTCGGTCTTTGATCCCTAAGGAAAATGTCTTTTATCAAGTAGAAAAGGTTTCTAGCTAGAACTAGTTGCTAAGAATTTTTTTAAAATCATGAATGGTTGTTAAATTTTGTTAAGTGCCTTTTCTACCTCTAGTGAAACAAGTAACAGCTCAAAGTTGTTGGCATGGTGAATTGCAATGACTGATTTTCGTATTTAAACCAATCTTGCAGTCTGGTGACAAATCCCACCTAGTTATGATGTATTTATCTTTTTATATATTGCAATATTTGGACCTGCTAATATTTTGTTAAGGATTTTTGAATCCTTTTTCATGAGAGATATTGGTCTATAGTTTTCTTTTCTTGAATGACTATGTTTGATATTGTTATTGGGGTCTTGCTGGCTTTATGGAATGAGTTGGAGAGTGTCCCCCCCTCCATACTCTGAAAAAGTTTGTGTAAGATTGTTATTATTTTGTCCTTAAATGTTGGATAGAATATCCCAGTGAAGCTATCAAGCCTAAAAATTGTGGGCAATTTTTCAATTATAAATTCTATTTTTAAGAAAATGATCTAGGACTATTAAGATTTTCAATATCTTGTATCAATTTTGGTAAGCTGTTTTTCAAGGAATTTGTCCATTCATCTTAGTTATCAAATTTATTGGA